ACCCACACGCTGTTTTTCTCGCATCCCTGCGGAGCGATAACATCTGGCTTACAGACGTGGAGCTGTTGCTGGCCGCCTCCGGGCCTGGGGGAGGCTTGCCTCTGTCAGCCGTCGGCTTTAATGAACATTTTTTTGCTTCCATAGCTCAACCAGCTGACACGCTGGGGGGGGCCACGAAGGCCCGGCTCATCCCCGGTGGGTGTGTCTCCGTGGGCTGTCTCCCTTCTGAAAAGCCCCCCGGGCAGGTCTTTCAGCTGGGGGAGGTAGAGTTTTGCAGAAGAAGAGAAAGGGAGAAACATCCCCCCGGAGTTTTTTTTTCTCCTTGAGATCAGCTCTTGAAATGCGCCTTCGGTAAATGCCAAATGACCCCCTTCTTCTTTTGAGGAAGCCCTTCCAGGGTGGCCTGTTGCTTTGAATGGATTTAAATCTGAAAAGTACTTTTCTTTGACTTTTTTGGGGGGGGTCTCTCCTCCCCGCCCAACCCCACTCCCAAATGAATGCAAGGGACAATAGGCTGGGGGGGGGAGGCAAATTGGGAGAGGATGAAAAAAAAGACTTCCTTTGTTCCCATCAGCTTTGGAGGGAAAGCGGGGGGACCCAACTTGCACCTGGCCCTTCTTCACTCTTTCGGTTGCTCTCCTACCTGAGCGTCTGTCTTGGCCTTGAGTGTCAGGGCTTTTGTGTCTCCCCGCCCCCAAATGCCTCCCCTGCCCCAAAGCACAAGCCAGCTGGCAGCGTGGGGAGCTCTCGCTGCGTGCCCTGGATGATGGTGGCTTGTGCCAGTTTTGCAGCCCGAGGTCCAGTTAGAGCCGCTCCTGCGACTGGCCATGCCGGCCTCGGGCTTTGGGGCCCCCTGCTGGACACACGTCTGGGGGACCAGCACGCCATCTCACCTCCGTGGTGACTCTGCCACTGCTTCTTCTTCTTCTCTCTCTCCTTCGTGTTCCGTTCCTCCTCTTCCTGCGTCGTCGTCTTCCTCTTCCTCTTCTCCTGGACCGTCATCTTCTTCCTCTTCTTCTCCTCTTCCTCCATTCTCCCCTTCTCCTCTTCCTCCTCCTCCTGGACCACCATCTTCCTCCCACATCTTCTTCTTCCTCTCCTCCTCCTCCTCCTCCGTCCTCCCCTTTTCCTCTCCCTCCTTCTCCTGGACCATCATCTTCCTCCTGCATCATCTTCTGCTCCTCCATTCATCGTCTCTTCCTCCTCCTCTTCCTTCATCTCCTCTTCCTTCTTCCTCTTCCATCATCATTACCTCCATCTCTTCTTCTTCCTCCTCTCCCTCATCCTCTCCTCCTTGTAAAAAATCAACATCCTCTTGCCTCGAAAACCAGGGAATAGCACCTGTGCGCCCCCCATACAGAATTTCTGAGGGTCAGGGTTTATTTAGGAGAAATGCTTCTCAGCTGCTTCAGTCGTGTGGACTCTGCGTGCATTGCCGTCACTGTCCCTTTCCCTCCTCTTCCCTCCCAGTTCCCTGACGAGACCCTCCGAAGTGGGGAGCTGTTAAACATGATTGTCGCCGTCATCGACTCGGCTCAGGTAAGACCCCCCCCCAGCAGAAGTCGGGACGCTTTCTCTTTTCCGTTCCCACTGGAGAGGCCATCTTAATCCCAAACTGGGGGTGTTTCTCATCTGATTTCCCCACCCCTCCTCCAGATTTTAATTACAGTCAGAGACCGGCAGAATAAAACGAACAGACAAACTCAGAAACGATGGCTGGTGTGGGTCTTCCGGGCTGGGTGGCCGTGTTCTGGAAGTTTTGTTTCCTAACGTTTCGCCGGCACCTGTGACCGGCATCTTCAGAGTGCAAACTCAGAAACGTCGGCCAAATACCCTAAAAGCAACCGAGCGGTCGTTTAGGTACCACCTACGAAATCAAGCCAGCACGGGCTCAGCTTCCTGGCGGTGTTTTCTTTTTTTTTCCTTTTGCAGCTCCAGGAATTGGTGTGCCACGTCATGATGGGGAATTTGGTGATGTTTCGGAAAGACTCGGTCCTTAATATCCTGAGTGAGTTGCGGCCGGCCGGGAGAGTGCCGTCTTTTTTTTCAAGCGGGCAGCGGTGGCGATCTCAGCAAAGGGCCGGTGGGAGGGTTTCGATACCTTTGGAGGTGGTGGACTTCAGCTCCCAGAGTCCTTTGCCCCCCCTTAGACCAGGAAGTGCGATTCCTAGCTAGGCCTCGTTGCCCCGGAGAGGCAGGGTCAGCACAGGGGCGAACAGAGAGACAAAACCAGGTTTTTTGCGGGGCGCTGTGTCTTGCGCAACTCGCTTCCTTTTTGGGGTTCTTTTTTCCTGCAGTTCAGAGCTTGGAGTGGGAGACCTTTGAGCAATATTGCACCTGGCAGCTCTTTCTGGCACACAACATTCCCTTGGAAACCATCATCCCCATCCTGCAGCACCTCAAGTACAAAGGTGAGCCAACTACGCACGGCCCCGGCTGCTAAGCTCCGGCACAGTGAGGGGGGAAAAAAAACACGGCGGCATCTTTATTATGCAGAGTCGCTGCTCTGATTTTTTTCAAAACCGGTGCAGGTACAGACATAGACAACTAGCCTCTCGAGGATTCCACTCTCTGCTCTTCTTTCCTGAGATGCTGCTTTTCTGTACGCAGGTTTTTTTAAAATTTCCTTTCGGCCAGCATCGTAAGAAAAAAGGCTCTCTGAGGTCTGACTTGGCCTAGGTAGTGCTGAGCCGGGATTTAAAAACAAAAAAAAACTTGCTTTTTTCTTGCAGAACATCCCGAGGCCCTTTCCTGCCTACTGTTGCAGCTGAGACGGGAAAAGTACGTATTTGATGTTCTCTGTCTGCTGTCCTCGCCGGAGCTGGGGAGAAACCAGACGCTGGCAAGGAATCTGCTTTGCTGGTGAATTAAGACCTCTTGTTGTTAAGGAACGGATGTTGGCCAGCAGAACCTCATCCTTCCGTGTTCGCCCCTTGGCGTTTTTTCGCAATCTGCTGCCCAGAACTCAACCAGAAGTGGGGGGAATGATTTTCTAGATTGTCTTGGAGAGGGGGCAAAGTGGAAAAGAAGGAGGCTGTTGTTCCCAAGTTCTCCTTCCTTGTTCCCGACGCCACGTTAGGGGAGCTGGCTGGGTTTGATGCAGGCTGCAGCAGGCTGGGGCAAGAAATTGAAGCTCTCCTTCCTGCTCTTAACGTCTCTTGCCTGGCCTCAGCTTCACCTATGGAGGAAGATGGCCTGCCGTATTGATAGGCGCACGAAAGAACGTCTCCCCGCCCTGCCGAATGCGGCTTAGCCGTCGGGCTCCTGACAGCTTTGTGGAAGCAACCTTTCAGCTTCCTGAAATCAGAGGAAACCTGAAGGAGACAGTTCAGTGTGGCTTCCACCATTCTGGGGCTGCATCACCCACTGGGTGTGGTTGATATCCAGCAGAGTTAAATTTTACCATTTCTTTTACGCCTCCTGCGGTCAGCGATGGTGCTGGCCAGGTTTTCTTTCTGTATCCCTGCTCTTGGACCGAAATAGCAGAGGTTGTTAAGTCCCTTCCCCCTGCCAGTAGGGTTGGGGATTATGGGAACCGAAGTCCCACGACCCTGCAGTCTTCCCCGTTCGGGAAGGTGGATGAATGGTTGGAGGGATTAAACTATGGAGAGAATTGCAGGAGCTAACAGAAAACAGCCCAGGCTGATGCTAGGAGGCACGCCCAGAGAAATGTTAGAGATGTGGTGCAAGGAGGAAGCAGAGGGGGTGAAAAGCATATCGGCTCCTTTAATGAGGAGGCATGGGCAAAGATGGAAAGGGGAAGAGAGTGGAGCTTTAAACCTAAGATTGTCTTGTAAGAGATTATTTTTTCCTCTCCCCCCTTCTATCCCCATCTGCTTGTTTGGAAGAGATAACCAAAGCTATAATTTGCCACAGGCCAACAGAAGAAATGGTGAAAATGGTGCTGAGCCGGCCGTGTCATCCGGACGACCAGTTCACCACGAGCATTCTCCGGCACTGGTGCATCAAACACGAGAACCACTTAATAGAGCATATCAAGTCTCTCCTGATCAAGAATAACAGTCTGCCCCGGAAACGCCAAAGGTAAGATCCGGGGGAAGCAGGGCATTGCGGGGAAGAGAAAGGATGGCGGGTAGAATCTGGCATTGAAACCCTTTTTTCAAACAGCTTCTTCTCGTAGGCTGGGCTTCAGGCTGTTCAGAGCAACCCTCTGAAGACACAGCTCCCCGTTCCTAGAAGCTTAGCACGCAAAGAAAGGCTAACTAAAATGTCTGAGAAGCTAGATTTCCGCATGCAAGGCTTAAAAAGCCAAATGGGGAAGCAGGGAAGACCTTTGATAGGAGAAAGCAAAGAAGTGGGATATAAATCCAATAAATAAGAATGATGTCCAGCAGGCCTACACACTTAGAAAGTGAACCAGATCTGGATTTTTAAAATTATATCAGGGAAGTCCCAGCCCTTCCCTGTGCTACGTGCAGGAAAAAAAAATGCTTCTCTATGCACGCATAAGCATACAAACTCAAGGCAATTTCCCACTCCCCCCCGCCACCCCTTTGAAGCCAGAGCTTCAGATCTGACTCTTCCCTGAGTTGCTGAACTGGGAAGAAACTTTTATTTTTTTGACGGCTCGGAGGACTCCGGTGCGCGGCTTTGCTTTTCAGTGCCAGTGGAAAGAAGGGACCCCTGACCGTTTTCAAAGGCGAGGCATAAAGATCTCTTTTTTTTGATGAATAATACAACAACGGGGCTCAGCGCTTCCAGGCTCCAGATGAAGGGGGTGTGTTGGTTGCCCTCAGAGGCATAATTCCTTCCGTCTTCCAGTTTGGGAAAAACCAAAAATGAACAAGCGAGCTTTCAGGGAGTTTCCCAGGCTTCCCTCCCCTTTCCCAAAAAATGTCTCCATGTGCTGGGGAGCTGATCCCCAGCTGGACAGATGGGGGGCAGGCCCCCCCGGGTGTGGAGTCATTCTGTCTGGCACGTCTGGGCTACGGAGGCACTTCGCTTTCAGTGACAAGGACATCTAGTGGCAAGCTTTTTTCCGGTCCATGGCACCATCTTGGTCTCATTAGTCTCGGTTGCGTGCCTGTGCTTCATTCAGCTCTGTCCCTAGTCTTGTTTGTAGGGGGTGCATCATTTTAAATGTGTGCCTTCTTGAGGACTAGATACTTGGTCTTTGGGGGGAAAAAATCAGGAATTATGTTGTAACTTTACAGAGAGAGGATAAAATATAAATGTACTTGCAACTGCTTTTAAGAAGAC